CACTTTCCCAAGGGAAGATACTCTGCTGCAGATGTCGTACATCTGATCATAAATGTTAGGAATTAAAACAGTTTTAGATTTCCAGGTTTATTTGTGCAGAGTATCAAAGAATAATTCTTGATAGAAGACTAGGAAACACCAAACTAACATTTTTTTACTAAAAAGAATGAGCTAGTCTTGTCCTACTACTGACATTTTTACAATACAGACTCAGGGCTATCACTGTGTTAGTCATCTCAGATAACATGATCCTGACAAATGTCCTGTTTCTCCAGTGAAACACTTTATCTTGATACAAGGTGACATTTAGATTTGTACCTTCTGTTACAGAAAAAGTCTGAAAGTAGACACTGAGCCTTCCTCTGGCTGCGGAGTAAATCTGAAATTGTGAGTGGATTTTTAAGTTTTATAGGACCTTTTTTATTAATATCTGCAAAGCACTTAATTAAAAAAAAAAACACCTGCCTTAATAATGGCCTTGCTCTTTGCAGAGCTTTTTAAAATTAATCAGCTTCTTTCTTTAAGCAATATTTTGAAATTATATTGTTCCAGCAGTGTCCCATTAGTGTTCCTGCTCTGTGATATTAATGAATGATCCAAAATTGCACAGAAAGGCTTCCTTTTCAGTGGGAAAATTGAAAGAGATGCTTTGCCCCCTTTTTGAAAGCTAGTTGATGGTTTCATCATTGAGCAATTTTACTATTGGTAATGGACCATTGATCAGTAAATATTTGCCTGCACTTACAGGTTAATCTATATATTTATAATTTTACATGCTTTAGAACCTAGAAGATGTGATCTACCAGTGTAAACATTAGTGCTGACGTGTTGAAATATCTATCAGTTAAAGGGAAAAGGTTACAATTTTAGTCAGATGAAACCTGGCAGTTGTTGGGTGGTTGCTTTTTTTTTTTTTTTTTTTTTTTTTTTTTTGTTCTGTTTAGTTGCGACTTTCCTCCCTCAAACCTCCAAGTTTTAAAGACCTTGGAAAAGGAGACTTTATAAAGTAGATGGAGGAGATTAACTGCTTACTTTCGGGCAGTAGTTTTCCCTTGATAGAAGTGTTTAGCAAAGTCTCTCTCTTTTTCTGGGCACAGTTCTCCTTTCATTCCATTAGGTGGAGCTTTGTGATTAAGGCTGCAGAATAAACTTGCTTCTGAGTGCAAAATAATTCACCACGAAATGGCTGGGGGAGGAGGTGAACGAAGCCTTCTTTGCTTAGAGGTATCGTTGTCCTGTACGCAAGCTTGAGACACAAAAATCTGAATCGAGACCCTCACATACAAGGAAAATAAATTGAAAAATCGATTCTGTCAAACAGGGCCCTGCTCTAATCTGCTGTTGTCATAGTCAAGTTCTGAATCTAAAATACCTTAGGTTATAAATTAAATGTCAAATATAATTAATTTAGCACTTGAAACATGAAGTGGATGACTGTCCTTTGGAGAAAGCCTGACAGCTTTATGTATGTCACATCGGTATCTGTTAAAACAAGCTTCACATGCCAGAAGATCCTTGTGTGAATCATATTGCTGTTAGCTGTACCAGAATTTTGTCGATGGAATAAGTCTCAGAACAGTTTTTCTCCTTAATTGTCTGAAGCTTTTGCGAGACAATATAAATCAAGTGTCATCTGCATCATCTGTGCAGAATAGTGGTTTTATCATACATCAAATAAGCAATTTATTTCTTATTCATTACTACAGAAGCTATTGTTGAATATTTACATACAAATCTATATTTTATACAAATGGAGAATGTTTTCTTCCCTGTGTCTTGAACCCACTGCAGCTACAATTTGAATCCAGTTTTCCTTCCATCTTCTTAACTTCAGCAACAGTGGCTGTAGCCCTGCCATCCTCTTTCACAGGGAGGCCAGGGTTATAATTGAGTACCACTCCTTCCTCAGCCCACTTCCCTGGGGGCATGGATATCCTGTTTACATGGCCTCCTCCCCTTGCCCCAAACCAGAAGCAAAGAGGTCTTTTTCACATTTGTGTTTTGTGTCCTTGCTTTGCACAATGAACTATGCTCACCTTAAGGCTTATTTATTCACAGGTACCCCCAGGGAGGTGTAGGAGACAGGTTTACCCCATGGACACTTTTACACACTTGTTGAAATAAAAATGTCAGCATAACATGTTATTTCCCACTAACAGGACCAGTAGGACCTTCCTAATCCAACCCTCATAAAAATTCCCTGAGCAGGGTGCTGCAGCAAGGTTTCACCATTAATTTTTAAATGTGCATAACAATGTGGCTAAATGTTTGTGGGTGATACCGTTTACCCTACCTATGTGATCAGGATATTCATTCAGCTTAAGAGGAAAAAAAAAAAAAAAGAAAGAGACTGAGACCATGCTGCTCATTGAAATGAGGGGAACTTGTGCAGACAAACTGAAAGAGATCCAGACTTGTTCCTGGTTCCTACAGTGGCTGAATGAAGCAGAGATGAAATTGACTTTTTTTTTTTTCCCAAGTACTCTTGGAAAATCGAACACACAAAAAGCTTGTAACAGCCAACTCTCCTCTGCTCCAGCTTCTCTTTTCTTCTGCTCAACCCCGTGCTCTATAAGAGAAACATGAGCCCTAGGTCTGTGTTAAAATTTAGCCATTCTTGTATGTGTCAGGCAAAAAACAACTCCAAAGCAATACTTTAAATCTAAGAGGCACAACAACTTTTTCTTTTTGTCTCATTTTCACTGGATACACTGACAAAAGGACTGCTAGTTAGAAGCCTTTTTGCAGGCAGGTACTCAGAGAGGTTACTGTCCCAGCAGCTGATTTTAGCCTAAGGCATTTTGAAGGAAACAGGGAAGGGAACATTACTGCTGTAATAGTGCACCACCAAAAGCAGAGAAAGGGAGACTTGTCATACTTCTGAGGATGCTGACCTCATTCACATGTATGCCTTAATTTAGCAAGAGATGTGTATGTTTATATTCATTTCAGTCAGAGCAACAACAGGATTTGTCACTGACCATTAGAAAACTGACTGATTTCTTTTTCACTTCTGTTGCATGAAAGGCAATTGCAAGTTATTGTGCTGCCCAGGCATTGCAGTGAGTTAAGGTCATCATCTTAGCTGCAAAACAGGGCCAGATCCACAGGCAGGATAGCTGCATCAGTGCAATGCTGCATACAAGCTGGTTATCCCAGGTGAGAGGAAATCAGCTCCACACAACCATGCCTAAAATGTTCCCAGACCTGACTCACTCGTGCACAGCTCAGAGTTCCCTGAACTTTGTCTCTTATAGGCATATCTGCATTTGGATCTCAAAAACCTTGTGACTCAATTTTGATATTAAATGACTGTTGAACATAGATGACAGTCTGGTAAGTCCAAAATAACTTGGACTGATTTTCATGGATTTGGAGACCAAATGTGTATGTATTCATAAATACACATATTCATCTATAAAAATTGTCTCATTGATGTTCCTTTGGAGTATTTTTTTGACAGAAAGCCCAGGTAACTTTATTCTTCAATAAGGAAAGTGTCAACTCTTAAGCTCTCATTGTTATGAGGCTTATTTCCCTGAGAAAAGAAAATATGGACCTACACAGAAAATTTACTGAGAGTTCTGTAGAGACATATTCTACTCTCAGCTTCATCCTCTTAAGTCAAATTTACTGTCCTTTATTTCTCACTTGCCTTCCCAATTTGAAGATATCATTAAAGAAAAACAACCAATATTTCTATTGGTGTATGGAAATTCAGACTTACAAAAAAATGGCACAGAAGAGAACAAACTGGTGTCTGATATACCAACCTGAATGCTAAGGTTTGGTTCAGCAGAGCACCACTTTTTTTTCCAACACTATCTTGTGTATCTTGTGTATCTTGTGTATCTTGTGTATCTTGTGTATCTGGCACAAGCAGTTCTGTCCCTGACAGCTAAATAGATGAAACAAGTGACAGATTTTAAAAGTGATATACCTAGAAAAGTACACTTGGTTTATCATGTGTAAATGTGGTATATTTGATTGTTGAAATGTAATCTGCTGCTTCTTTAACAGATAAATAAATACTGGGTTTAGTCTGTTGTGTTTTTGAGAACACGATCATTGCAAGTGAATTGCTGCTGTCAAGAAGCTGTTTTTGCAGGTTTTTCCCTAATTACATGATGCAGAGTCATGGAATGAAAAGGTTAAGCTATTTCAGCGTACCCTATCAGTAACGTGCCACGTTTGTCCAGACTAATTCTGTTCTTTGTTCTCCAGCTATGGCTGTGCTGAGCTGGAAATATGTCCTGAATATACACTAGGTGGCAGGCGGGTCAGGGGGCTGGAAGCGAGCCTTGCCCACTCACCACACAGCCCTCTCTCCTGCCTCCAAAAGATAAATCGGTCTTCTCCAGGCCCCTACAAAGCACATTTGGCTCGCTGTACTAGATGTGAGTATGCAGTCAGCAGACTAGAAGATGATCTAGCCCTCTGCCCACGGGATGCTAGGCCATGTTGTTTCTGACAGATTTGCTTTTGCCTTTTAGCCGACAAGGAGAAGATGCCTGATCAGTAACAGCTCGATCAGTAGCAGCTGTTGTTGAGAATAAGGCTTGTGTTAGAGAAGTGGATGTGTTAAAGAAGTGCTGTCAGCACCTGAGGCAGGCTCTGATGGCTTGTCTTCAACAGTAGACTCCTGTATTTGCCCTGCAGGAGACGATGGCAGCTTGTCGCAAATTTTTTTGTAGCAGAACATCTTTCCAATGCTCTGTGATGCCCCAGGATGAAAGATGCCCTCAACGTTGCCCTTAAAGTGGTGATCTCATTGCAATGCCAGTATGTACAGCCTTGAATACATTAGTGCTTACTGCAGGATCCTTTGGGAGCTGTCAGGACACAAGGTCAAATTCAGCCCTCATGTAAACTTGTGGTGCTCACTTGACCCACAGCTCTGTCACTGTTACAGAAATGCTGTCAGCTTTCACCTCTTCTGATGTCCTTGAGGAAAGCATGGATTTGAAGTGGATGTCACATCACTATCAGCTTATGCTAATGTCATAGGTGAGTCTCACAGGGCTCTAAGAATGAGCCACATTTTAAAATAGTCTTTCCTATTGTTCTCTGTTTTTCCATTAGTTGTAGGAAAGCCATGAGTGGCCATCAATTGCTTTTCCTGTGTCTGACAAAAAGTTTCCTCAGTGCTGAGCTGCAGTCAGATGCATTTAGGATTCCTGCTCTGGTGTGAGAATTCCTGAACTGGAGCACATCTTCTGATTTTAATGATCAAGTATTCTTCAGATTTTAAGGACACAGCTAGTGTACAGACAGACTCATGCTAAAGCAGTTATTGGTACAGATAAAACAAGTCTCTACTGAGGATCTTAGGTATTTCTTATATCTGTTGCAGAGATCAAGTACTTCCATTGAAGCAAGGCAGTGTTTATTGCCAGTTCATCCAAACCCAATCAGCACATCTCTGGATAATAAACGGTGGAAAACATGCTCCTTTTTTTTTCTACACTTTAAACTACTGCTGCTTGTGGCTCTGTATCAGTTGAAAATTACAGAGAAACAAATGCTCGTGTAGTTTCAATTGCCTTACTGAGTAGTGAAATAGGACACTTGACAGGCACAATAGGGAAAATCTCACTCTGAATAAAACTTTGAATAAACCTGGATCTAAAAACTAAACATTTTAGTGTTTAGAGAATGCAGTAGTTAAAACAGTAATAAATAAATAAAAAAAGAACTCAGGCTTAGATAATTCCTAATCTAAGAATCTGACACTGAGTAGAGTACCTGCACATTTTCTCTAATAGGACAGGAGTGAGCAAATACTACACACCAAGAACATTTGTCTTTTTTTCTTTTTGAGTTGCTGAGGAACCACTCACTAAAACTAGAAAACATTTCAGAGCAGGGAGATGAGAAAAGAGCAATAGAGACTTGACAGAGTGAATAGGTGGGTGTATTTATACAGACATGAACACCAAGAGGCTCTTTCCTTGAGCAGCAGCCAGCCCCAAAGGAAAGGTAAGAAATCCTTCCTCCTGCAAACATAGTTTGAGACAAGTTGCATGAAGCCAACAGAAGAAAACATCAGGTCACAACCAGAAAAATGAAAATATGGAGCTGATAACTGACCAAAGTTTCAGTTCTCTTTCATATACATGCAGTCACAGGGTTTATTTGCAGCAAAGCCCTCTGAAGCTGGTATTGCTAGTGAAAGTAAATGTGAAGTGAAAATTGAAGGTTCCTTAATTTGTTCTTCACTTCTCTTTACCTGGTCTCTTTCAACTTTTAATTGCTGGAGACATAAATCTAGAAAGTAAACAAACAAAAAATATAAAATTGGAATTAAGGAGTACATTTTATAACTTTTTAAAGCATATTTTTCCAATAAAGCAACTTTCTGTGTTTGGAATATAAGCTATAGATCCAGGCCAACACCAAATCTGTCTGTGGGAGGCTGTCTTTGTAAGAAGAAATTGACATTTAGCTTTTGGCAAGGGTGTTTGTTTGATATTAGCATATTCTTCACCTAAAGGGAAATCTATATTAGTATGGAGATGTCAGATGCAGCTCTGCTACTGAGATTCATTGTGCTTTACCCAGGAGTTACATGCAAACCTTATGAGTTTAAGAATTTTAGGTTATGTTTGCCATAATCCATGAGTTTGATAATGGACCTACCAGAAGAGGGTTAGGTCACATAAGATTATCTTGTTGTCCAGCACCTCTGCAAAATCACACAGTTCCTCCTTTTCCTAGGTGTTAGGGTGGTTTGTGGTTTTGGCTTGGTTTTCTTTTTTAAGAAAAAAGAAAATTTTTAAATTTTTTAAATTTAGATTTTTGTACTGATCTCTCCTCCTTTTCCCTGTTGCTCCCTGCAGTCATCTTCAGTCTTCTCCATCCAAAACTTGCCAAAATCATACATGGTAAGACAGAGGTTTTTTTTAATTGAGTGTTTTGTTTATTTTCTGTTTTGGAAAGCATTTTGTGGTGGTGAGGAGCGAGTATTATGTGATGATGAGTATTGAACCGATTACAGCAAGGAAGTATAATGCAAAGGGAAGCAGGTTAGGGTTATGGTTATAAGTTATGTTCAAGACATCAGTGACATTTTAAAATACCTGGTTTAGAATTATTTGAGCCTACAACCTCTGGGTCTGTAATTGAGTTTTACTTCTCAGGAGCTCACAGAAGTTCAGACAGTGGTTTATAAAATATACACAGAGATCAAGTAGTTTGAAATTCAGACTGATTTTCTATATTTTTTTATTTTTTTTTTTTTGGTGTGGGAAAAAGGAATAAACCTTCAAAACCCTTTCATTTAATGCCAGTTCCTGCCAGCAAGGGAAATTTAATCCACTCAAGCCACCAAATCATTGAGTACATTTATTCATTAAAGTAATCAATCAGTGGAAATAGGTTTTTCTTTTTATATATTAAATGGCAAAAATGATGAGTTCATAAAAATGTCAAGAAATTTTCATCTCTTCTATCTCTTTTCTAAGGTCAGCTGTCTTCAAATGTATTATCCCATTTGTGGGAATCTTACTTTTTCTGTCTTTCTTGTAGAAAGCTGAGCATTGAGTATTACACAGAGATTAAAATTGAGTAGAAACTGTAGAAAATGTCAAACATAGCAGAAATCATGACACATGCTCTTTTGACTAGTCACAAAAGCATCAACAGTTGTTAATTTTTGAAGCTAGTATTCTGGCAGTGTTACATTAATACATCAGTCACAGCAACTTCTTGTTTACATTTTTGCTAGCATCTACAAGTTTGTCAAGATCTATCGTCTCTTTCCCTTATGTAGTTGGCTTCTTTTATTTTGACAAATGGATCCTTGCCAAGGAGTTATGTATGTGCCTTGTACATCATCATTTGGAAGCAGGAGACAGCATCAGGATTATAATTTTTCTCTACTGTTTACAATGCGGTCTGCTTCTTTGAGATCTTTTAGTGGAAAAGACTAAGTGAATAAAAACATCAACTTTGCTACAGGAAATAAAATTACATGCATTGTTTGCCTGACTAACTCTAAACATAGAAATTAAGCTCCTTTTATTTTGGGAAAGATGAAGTGCCTCCCAGGTTTGTCTTTGAGCTCTTGTTCATTTAGGAAAGTAGGAATGTAAAGCGACCAACCGCATCATCAAATCAGTATCTTACATCTGCAGACAGTTCTTTAAAACAGACTAACCCAAATTTATGAAACACTTTTTAAGATCTCTGAGTGAGAGACCTTCCAGTTGTTGTAAAGATTCTAAACCTCAAAAATGTAAACAGGCAAGGAAGAGAGTATAATAAAAGGCATTGCCAATATTTTGGGTGAAGTAGCTTTTCCTTAGGTGGTGTTTCCAGGAAGATATGGGACCGTGGGCCATGTCCCAGTCTCCAGAAGAGGAAGGATATTCCCAGGTAATTTCCTGAAATAAAATTCTGTCCTGAAATATGTTGCTACCAAACCATTAGTTTGTTACTATTGAATATGGTGACAGGTTTAACTGTGCAAGTGTAGAAAGACATACTGATCTTCCTCAATAGTGTCAGGAATATCTACTACATCCCCCAGCAACGCAGCTCCATCTGTGACCAATTGACAGAGGAAATTGATTGACAGCAGCCCTGAAGTATGGACTAATTAAATATATCATAAGTAGGTTGCAGTGAACACAAATCAGCTTGACCCAAAAAATTTTGGTTCCCAAATGTCAGCAAGATTTTCTGTTTAGCTTTGTAATATGGTCAGGGTCCAGAAGCAGTCTATAAACAACAGGGGCATCTTTGATGCCAGTTCTTACTCCTCAGAGTTTTAAAGTTGACTAACAAATATCTGTGGAGTAAGCAGACTCTAAAGGGCAGCCAAAGGCCTGCTTACGTGGTAAAATCAGCATGGGGTAAGGTAAGATGAAAACTGAGGGTACAGAAGCTGTCTGCACTCATTCTTCACAGGGAGACTGGTGAGCCCCCAGGGTGTGCTCAGATGGCCCCAGCCAGAGCTTGCTGAGGTAGTTTAAGGGGTCACTGTCCCTGGGTGTCTGCTTTGTCCTTTTGCTGGAGATTACAGCCCTTATTCAAGCGGAGATGGAAAAGAGCTCATGGCCACCCTTCCACCGCCCTCTTTCAAAGCCTGCTGCGTTCACTGAAATTAGCCATGAAGACTGATTTGTGTTTATGAGCTGAGTTGCTGTTGATGGAGGCTGAAAACTGAGCCATGCTTGGATTTGCTGCCCCAGCTAAGGGAGAGGAACTACTGGCAGAAGCATGCTGCAGGTGCCATAATGACATAAAAGTTTTAAGAGCAGCCCTTTGTGAATGTAGTTGAATAAGATATAATGTATTTAATGATTAAAAGCTTCTCACAGGGGATCAGGGCAGAATAGGTGGTGGCCTGCATGTTTTCATTATGGTCTTGCACTGACTTCTTGGGCACATCAAAACACAACTCTACAAATTTCAGTTATTCAAAGACACAGTAAACCTGTTTCTTTTGGGGCAGAGCATACCATATTGTTTAGTCATTTCACTAGAATTTGGCAGTCCTTGTATACTGGATGACATTAAACAGAGCAGAACTTTGCTGAGTAAGGAAGTGCAGCTACATTGCATCAGCAATCATTTTTCCTAATTGGGATGACAAAACGTGTTCAGATCCTACTGAGCATTTCCTTGCATATCTACTGCATGCACTGCAAATACTTTTTTCTTGAGGTTTTGATGTGTTCTTGGGTTATGGTGTATACTCTTAATACATATCCTAGGCCTTGGGCTTGGCTGTATCAGCTTTCTACAGCCATGTAGCATTTAAGTAAAGAGAGCAAAGAATCTGAGTTGCAATCTTAGAGACAGTCTGTGCAACTTGGAGATCAGTTGTCAGTGTATAATAGTTCCTTTAACACTCAGCAGAGAGCTAACAGAATATCTTCAATTGCTTTGCATTTTTGGAGGAATTCAGATGTCTTAAATGCATACAGAAAACACAATTAAATGTCAAGCCCAAGTAGTTTGGGCTCACAGCTGTAGCATCCCAACCTATAGGCTAGAAATGACCAACCTTTACTGCTCATCAGAAATATCTACAGATTAATGATCATTAAAATATTGTGAATACCATTTTAAACTGATTTTATCTTCTGGTCATTGGCAAAATGACCGATCTGGGGATAAATGGGGATATACACAAAAAAGACTGGTGTATATTACTATGTAATTCAGCACAGTTGACTGGAGCATGGTGCTGATAATGCTAAGGGTGTGGGTTTGACCTCTATACAGATCAATCACTTAGAATCACCAGTCCAAGAAATGGACTTGATGACCCTTTGGATCCCTTCCAACTGTGAATATTTTGTGATTCTGTGATCTATCTGGCTGTAACACATCTTTCTCCTCTATACCCAAATCTTTGACCATGTGCAAATGTATTTACCCACTAACATGTTCCACTAGCGGGAACAATTCACAAGGTTGAATACAACAACATACCATGCAAAAAATACTACGGTAATCTGCTGTAGCAACCACACCAGGACTGAAATTTTCCTGACAAAGTTTCATCTGCACTTGTCTGGGTCTAGTCAAGGGGGAAGATTTCAGGAACTTCAGGCAGATATTTTGCAACAGGCTTCCTTATGACAAAAATATACCATGTCCTCATACAAATGGTTATGCAGACACCGTGAAAGGCAGCTGGGTCAATATTGATAATAAAGAGGAGAAATCTGGAGACCTGCAGCTCTTCCATGCACGATTGCTCACACTGAAGAGCTGGTGTTTGCCATTTGGCATGTATGAGGACTTTGCTGTAATGGAGGCACTCAGCTCAGCAGAGTTATTTTCCATCCTCCACTGATACTGATGCCAAAATTTCAGTTCCAATACATCAGATCACTGCTTGTTTGAGAAGCAAGTACATGAAGGAGTCCTTGGATTTCCAGAATGTTTTGTTTATTTCTATTTCACAGCTTGTCTGACTTCTGCTGCACTATATAACATCTGAATTCTGTATGGGTGATGGAACATGTGTTGGTTCTTCCCTATGCTCTCTGCCCTGGGGCAACAAGTGTTGCCTGTCATATGTCTCTTATTTTGTGGTTCTACCAAAGTGGGATTGCAAGTGGAAAACAGGTGGAAGACAATCATCAGTGTCACTCAAAACTATTCCTTTCCTATTCCAATACTTGGACTTGAGTTTCCTTCTTGAAACTCCCGTATCAACTGAAAATGCTTAGTGATTCATACAGAATCATAAGGAGAGGGAAATCTTATGAAAACACACCATTCCAGGCCCAAATAGACTTCCACTCTTTACAATGGGAGTTTTGCCACCAGTTTAAATGAGAGCACTTGGGCTAAGGCTTCTTCAGCCACTGATCCTTCCTTTGTTCATTCATATGATAACAAAACCACACTAAAACAGAAGGGAAGAAGTACTTAGAGCTCTGAAGAAACACAGGGCAGATCACTGGGTAATTAAATTAACCCAGTTCTACTGTAGTCAGTGATGTATACTGTGTTCACTGAAGTTACATCAATTTTTCCTGTCCAAGGCTCAGGATGATGGTGTTTGAACATATCATTGTTCCATGGGCTGGTATCTCTCTCCCTGTACATCTGGGTGAGGTAGAAATCAGAGGACAAATGCAGTCTTCGGGCAACATTCCAGTAGTGTTACATTTTGTATAAAAAAATGTAAATAATTTTCAGATTGACTTAAGTTCATTTTTCACAGTTTAGTTTTTACAGAGATATATAACTGCAGCTGGACACTGCTTGTGATAGTTAAACTTTATGTTTGTTGTGAGGGTCCAGTCACTTGGAGAGTTTGCAAGTGCAGCTGCTTGGTCTTTGCAGCCACACCAGAGTCATATTGGTTTTCACCTGTCTGCTTAACCTCACATGATGAGAGGCAGAAACTTTTCACCTGGCCTGATCTCTCACACAGGTATAAATGTGCTCGTGTGTTTATAGCTTCAAATAATCAGCATATTTCAAAAATGGAAGCAAACATGAAATGGAGACATAAGGATGTGAAACACATAAGCATGTTGGGGGTGAGGCTCAGTTTCCAGAGGCTGCTGACAATTGTCTCATGCCATAGGGAGAGGTGCTGGTTTCCATAATGCATGGAGCCAATTATACCAGTGTCTTGACAGAGGGGAAGGGGGAGAAATCTTCTCACTGACCCTGACAGACAACAAACTTCTACCCTGAAGCCTGATGTCTGATTAGTTTTTCAAGATTTTTACTGAAAGGCTGTTGAGTAATACAATAGTTCCTTCCTATGACCAATACTATTTCATTTACCAATATACCATTTGATGTATTCCTCTTAGTTTTTTTCTGACATCAACTGAAATACTTGTACTTCCCCTCCTGAAGATGTGGAATTGCAAACTGACAAGTCCAGTAAGTGGGAGCTAAATCAGTAATACCTCCAGAGATTAAGGGGGCAGAATATTTATAAGCATTTAAATGTTTTAGAGTACTTTTCATAAGGAAGATATCTAACAATTAGGTACTAATAAAAAAAGAACAAAATAGTATACTACTAAAAGGTCAGGTTTACGTAATATATTTTGCATTGTAACCACACAAAGAAAAAAAGTTAAGTATTTGATTTCACTTTGAACTTTATGCCTTTGATAAATTTAAGATTATTATTGTATTTAAGCCATTTTATGTCCTCAGTGGGAGTTAAGGCACTCAGCACTTGAAGAATTGAAGTAAGGATGTGAGCAGTCATTTGACCACTCTTGAATTGTATTGCCTAACATCTGAGAAGGATCGGGAAGACAATCCTTAGCCCTGAGCATTATATACAAATGAAATAGGGGTTATCTGGGGGCAGCATAATTCATTAAATGTTCCCTCTAAATGTAAAACACCAAATTCCCTCGACACAGTCAGCCTTTCTATCTGCAGTCTAGTTGTGACATAAAAAAAGATATTACAGTAAGAGTAAACTGAAATTCAGAAAAGCCCAGAAGTTCACTGGTAAAGCTCATTCTATTTTCTCATTACATCTTTTAACAAACAGACAGAAAAAATATTGTAGGCATCACAGTCATCTGAAAAAAAATGTCTGATTTTAGAAGATGGGACTAGATTCTTAGGTGGTATCAATCACGAGATTTACATTAATTGTAATCCAATTACCCTGTAGCTCTGTCAGCTGAGAATCTGATCCAGGAGCTGTAACAGAAGAGCATCCATGTGTAGCTTCATCATCTCCTCATACATCTCTCTTTTACTTCAGGCCAGTCTGAGAAAAAATTCAAGCAAATACTGTGATCAGATTTTTATGAAGACTGCATAGAATTACACTGGGACAAAAAACCCGGCTTATTAAGGGAAGATGTAAGGTGACCAAACCAAAGTTAAAAGCAATCTCATAACTGTAATTGTACTGTAAGACATGTATTTCACCCCATTACATAGACTGTGTGTTTTCACCTGTGATATATTTATTCTTACATCAAAACTTCTCATGGTGCCAGGAAGGATTAGCTGTCCAGTTTGGCCAAACAGGACACAACAGGGTAGGTAAGTGGTTTGCTCAGGGCTACCCAGGAAACCATATCAGAAGAGCATGAGTCTTTCTAATGCTGGGCTAATGCCACAGTCCCCAGACCACTTCTGCCTGCCTAGTTTTCCTTCTGTTATTTAATTAATACAGAGTCTATTGATAATCTTTGGAAAGTCAGTTATTTATGCTCCAGCTTAACCAACACAGAATAGTGGAAACATCTGTCTTGTGAGCTGACAAATGAAGAGTGTTATATAAAGGCAATAGATTCTAAATTTGCCATGCCATTAGCATGAGAGAGATGTGTGTCTGGCATGTGAGACAGAGAAAGACAGGTACCCAGCCTGGTCCCCCTCCACTCTACAGTCCCATCTGTGCTCACAAAGCTGGGACGAAGTCTCAGGGTCTAAATGAAGGTACTGCTGACCCCAGCGGATATTCAGTTATTCCAAGTGACATTCGCTTTCATTTTAAATTGCCAACAAATGTGAAGGAAAGTTCAAGAAGTCTTGGGCAACAGACTTACCCTAAATGAGACTATAAAAAGATATAAACATTTGTGGAGGAAAGGGAATGGAAAAATCTTAAAAAGAAGCATTTGTGTTTCCTTTTTCTTTTTAGGAATTATGCTTTAAAATTTCCTCATGGAAATGCTGCTGATTCATGCATTTTAAAAATACTTTCTTCCTATTCAGCCTCTCCCACAGTAGGCCAGTCCTGATTCACTGTCCACTTAAGTAGATATCTGTATTGCGTTTATTTTATTTGCATCATGTTTGCATTTATTGTATACATCCAGGATCCCTCTAAAACTTTAGAATACTTTTCAACTACAGATACTTTAAAGTCCTTTAAGATAGAGTATGTACTAAAAATGATGTTACAAGTGGGTAGTAGAAATATTTTGTTCCTTATTAATCTGTGACCGCACAGAATTGCAAATGAGACAGTGAAAGAAATAGGTGAAACTGGCAACTTACTGGATTTTTATTGTCTTAACATAGTGAGATAAGGAACAGGAAAAATCATGCTTTTTTCTGAGTGATTTCTGTTTAATTCAAAATCCATGAGGGCTTACCTTAAAAATATATGATGCTATCGAGTTCAGAAAGCTGCATGATTTATTCAGCTGGGCTCACCATTTCTTCCTGTCAGTTATAGGTGATCAGTTATTGAAAGTGTCTATCACTCATTATATATTTATTTTTTGGAGTTTAGAGACAGTCTTTTAAAAGACTTTCAGACAGGGGTATTACTGCCCTGTGCTCAAGAGCTGACTTTCAGCTAGTCAGTGAAATAAATGTTTTGGGACACATTATCAGTTGATAAAAGCTCTTGTAAGCCTCATGCTTCCAATTTCCCTCAGCCCTGAGAATCTGTCCTGTTATCACTGTCCTTGTACCTGGCCATTTTTGGTGCAGTTTTGATTTGGCACAACGCAGTGTGGCTGAGACATTTTCCCAGAAAAAATGCAAAATGTTATATACCATCTCATGTCAGGTATCCTGTACCTCAAATTGGTGGAACAAAGCATGTTATTTCCACTTAGTGGGAAGAAACCAACATTGTTATTTCTACTGCTCTAGTGTCAGGGCTTTTTATTTCCACTGCAGTGATTGTACAGGCTCTCATAACCAATAAGCCAACATCCACCCTGCCAAAAAAAACAACAAAAAAACCCTCTTGGCTGGTTAGAAGCACAATAGAGCACACAAAAGAAAACTGACTCAGGCTGCAGCTAGAAAGGAAATGTCTATTCTCCTGATAGTAGTGTGGAATTTGACTAAAAAATTACATTTTTCTGACAGATGGACAACCTCTGGATCATTTCCAGTTTTCCCAATGATGCAAGTAAAAAAAACCAAAACAACAAGCCAAGGGCATGTATAGATTCCTAACTTCAAAAGGGGGTAAGGAAACATGTACTATTTGCTTGTGGCTGTGTAAAATAAATGCAGTTCAGGTTTAAAGCTTCTGGACACAAATGGCCAGATCTAAAGGGTCCAGATACACCATATCAGACAAAAAAATGTCATATCTCTCTAGATCAGTGTAAGTTCTAAGAGAATTTCTTCTGAATAAAGGACACAGCATCACTTCTCAAAATTTTCTGCAGTGAGAAGCAGCTTCAGGGTGAAACTGTGGCTCCCTGGAAACTTTGTCACAGAGTTGATGTGAACTAGTTCATTGTGAACACTGGCTGTGCCCCATTCTCAGATTGCTCTTCCCACTTTTTAACCTCAACTGCCCTCAGTCTTGAGCCCTCTGAGTGACCTTTTTTTACAGCACGGCATGGTGCTCTGACCTACTCCAGCTCCTAACAACAGGCTTTCTGTTGCACAGCATGTGAACCTGGGCCAGGAAAAGATGGCTTAGATTTTAAGAGGATTGTGGACTACAGAGACATTGCCCCTGAACACACAGGAAGCTTGATTCTTGTGTTGGTGGAAATCTACGTTACCTCACAAATGTAAATAGAACAAAATGCATTTGTCTTAGCTGAGTGTACAATCTGTAGATTCTGGGTCTATGCACAATTTATTTTCTGTGCTGAGAAATAAAATATCTTGGTTTTATTCCTTATCAGTAGAAAAAATAGGTCTCTATTATCCACAAAACTAAGACTCACTCACATTTATATGGCTTCAGTAACACGTGATCTCTTTTTAAATGATGGAAACTTCACAAGGGAAACTAAAAGATGCTTTTAGGTGAAAACTATGATTCTGTTATTTGCAAGCATAATGATCTCAGTTCAAAAAAATAGCACAAAATGTGTGCAGAAATATGAAAATGAGCCCTTGGACAGAAATTTTTACCTTTCACCTTGGAATGTTTATGTTAGTGCTCTTAGCATTGGTTTTTTTCATGAAGATGTACTGAATAATTATAGAATGTGACTTCAGAATTCACAATATAAGAATAATGGACATATAATTTTGTAAAGCATAGAAATTTTTATTAAGTCAATTTACGTAATAGAGAATTTTACTGAGAATTATTTATTTCATGTCACCCTTAAATTCAAGACTGCCATCAGCATAAGATATATGCTGTGTATTACTATATGTTGGGGGACAGTTAAAAAAAGTCTGCTACAAGTGCCTGCTAAAATTATAAATATTAATTTTAACCCATAATAAACTGCTCTTACCGGTACCAGCCAACATCTGCCTAGCTGGTGCTATACATCCTTACTCAGTGACATTGGAGGTGGGGCCATCCCGTACCCTGCTTCTCAGAGGGTCTGGGGATGGCGAGCTGGAGAAGATTTCAGCTCAGTCCGAGATCTCAGATCCAGCACCTGGATCTTTGTCAGGGAGCAAGGGCAGTAGCAGAAAGGGGGAAAATGCAGGGCACCCTCCCGCTGGAAGCGCGGCACGGCAGAGCCGTGGATGCGATCCCCGCCGGGGCGCGGGTGCCGCACGGTCTCTGCAGCGCCGGCTGAGGTCACTGTGGCTCCGCACCTCCCGCTGCTTTTGGAGCAGCCTTTTGCTGCTGGAAGAAAGGATACGGCAGCGCATTTTTCTATTTTTTATTATTTTTTTTTTTTTTTTCTCCCAGCGCATATAGTTTCTGAAAATGGGGACTAACTGACGGCTGTAATTTTGATGGAGATTTACCTGTAGGCAAGACGGCAATCAAACCCACACTATTAATGGAAGGCTGATTGAGTTAATGAATATAATTGTCAACTCTACAAACTGATTCAGTCTGTCTAACAATCTATCAGTTTGTCTTTCCTCTTGAAGTTGTCCCCATTTATATCTTGCTCTATGGTGGCTGTAGGTGAATACCAAAAATCCCCATAAATACAATATTGTTTGAGGGACAGCTGATGGATGCTTGGGAAAGAAAAGGGGATCTGCTATACCAGGTAACTGAGTTTATCACTGTTCAATTAGACACAATAAATTTGCACTAGGCAGCTGAAATAGTAGGTAATATTAACATTTGATTTTATCATACAGCTGGCCTGCATGAAATTCAGGTCCTTTATGCATTGGACTAAGTCTTCAAAGGACTCTTCCTTAATGACTTATGGTCTGAGGAATGAAACAGTGTACAGGAAGCATTGCATATAGATATCAGAGACTGATGCTCTAACATAACAACAAAACGTTCAGTAGAGCAGGGAAGAGATAAGGAGATGTGAGAAAACATAAAAAGTGCCTTCCTTCAGTGAGTCTGAATTTCAGGCTTGGCAAGCCTGCAGCCCACCAACCTAAACTCAACCATGAAGCTCACCACTGGATCTGCAGGAGATTTCCTTCCATACAGGGAACCCCACTGACCTGTTAAGAAAGGCTTTCTATCCTCCCCATCAGTTCAGAGAGAAAAGAGTGATGTATTAGAAGATGAAGACTAAACTACTGAATAGTCAGAAAAGCATAATTCACAACTTATGCCAGGGACAAATTCAATTCAGAAGAGCCCTTTACAGATCACACAGCCTTTCTAGAAGCAGTTACTACAAAAGACCTTTTTCAGATATATCAGAAGAAGTGTACATTCAACTTCTGATACAGGAAGTTTATTTTGCTTCCTCAGAGCTTGACCCAGTCCTCAGAGCTGCCATCACTGAAGAGGTGAGGCCCAAACTACAAGAGAGTTTCCTGCCTTTCCTCTGGGGTCACTCACAAGAGGACAACAAAAATGAGACTACACTACATGTCTGTGATGAACATTGTAAAACACTGTGACATTGGAATAGTAATACCCACCTTTTACAGTGG